CCCCCTCGTTCCATTTCTTTGAAGCGAAGGAAAGTGGGATCAAGCTATACACGTTGTAAAACTTTCTGCAACAGGACCATTCCTAAATAAATTTTATAGGTCGTGTATATAAATACATTATATGACTGCCCGAATACGCACATAACCGCAATACCTAAATGCGTGCACATAGTTGCGTTAAGAACAAGATCTGGTGGGGGGCGCCTGGGTGGCACAGTCGGTTAAGCGTCCGACTTCACCCAGGTCACAATCTCGCGGTCCGTGAGTTCGAGCCCCGCGTCGGGCTCTGTGCTGACCGCTCAGAGCCTGGAGCCTGTTTCCGATTCTGTGTCTCCCTCTCTCTCTGCCCCTCCCCCGTTCATGCTCTGTCTCTCTCTGTCCCAAAAATAAATAAAAACGTTAAAAAAAAAAATTAAAAAAAAAAAAAAAAGAACAAGATCTGGTGGTTTGTCTTTACCATGAAGACGCGTGACTCGATGTGACTCGATGCCTCTCTGTTGTGTAGCTCACAGTAATTCGTTGTATAAACATACAATGTAACTGCTCCCCTACTGGTGGACATTTAGGTTAGCTCCATTTTCTCTACTGCAAATACCAGTGCGATGAATAATCCTATACAGACACCCTGTGCATGTATGCTCGTATTTCAGTAGAACAGATTTCTAGAAGACGACCTTCTGGATCAAAAGGTTTGGACCTTTAACATTTTGATAAGGTATCAGGAAACTGCTCGGCAAACAGGTAGGAACAATTTATCTCTGCGCTGTCCCACTCCCCCGCCCTATCGACAGTAACCTGCCCCTTTAAATCGCTACGCGATCGTCTGTCTCTGAAAAAACTGACCACGATTTGTAATCATTAGATGAGTTTACTGGTTTTATCATCTGGCTCCTCCAATAGAAGACAGCTCCCTGGGGCAAGGACCCTGTTTGCCTGTTTCCAGCTAAATCCCCAGGCACAGAGTGACCCTTCAAAACACAATTGTAACTAATAAGCCTATACAGGTGTCTTTCCCGCCCATATCCTCAACACTGAATATTATCAATATTTTCGATTTTTGCTCCTCTGACCAGAGTAGAAAAGGCTTGGGTCACCTGGCCTTGCTACCTTGCTGTGTGACCTTGCCCGAGTCACTCAACCTCTCTGGGCCTCAGGTGTCTGAGAGCCAGGAGCCATAGGCTGAGCGCGTGATCGCACCTCAGACCGAAGGCCTGGGGTGGGGTTGGGAAAGCGGTAGTTTGGTGGGTGGCTTGGTGGCGGCTGGCTTTGGTTTCAGCCCTACTTCTCTCTCCCCATGTGACCTTAGGCCAGGTACTCCCCTCTCTGGGCTCAGTTTCCTCCTCCGTAGCAGGAGGAGCGCTGCAGCCATGAGCTTCCGAGCGTCCTGCGGGTCCACCCATCCTAAGTGCCTACAGATGACAAGCGAGTTGGCGGGACGGTTCCTCCTCCGAGTCACATTTCCATGCGGTGCTGAGCTGGGCACTGCGGCCTTGAACTCTGTCTTGTTTCACAACCACTATTTAGGGAAAGGAGTTTTCTGACTTCCCCCTCTACTCAGCAGCAGGTCCCAGCCTTAAGTCCGTTCCGGGGAAGGTCCACGCCAAGTTCCCCTGGCCAAAGCCCTTCCTCATTAAGTTCTTTCAGATCTGTCTCATGTGCCCCCTCCCCCAGCCAGCAGTCTCCCACACGGCCCTGCGGCTCCGTTCCTCCTGGGGCAGCACCCATGGGCTCCCTTTTAACTACGAGTTAGTCTGAGCAGCTCCAGGAGCACCGGTGTCTCCAAAGCCCCCTCCTCAGATGCGCTTCTGTCAACCCAGAAGTCTTGACCAAAGTTTTAGTCAGCAAAGAAAGAGAAGCTTCCACGGGGCGGCGTAGCCCTTGGGCGTTCCCTGTCTCACAGGCTCAGCTGGAAAGGATTTTGGCCTGCCCACGTGAGACTGGAAACGAGGGTGACCCACTGTCTCTGCTGAGACTGCCCTGGTTTTAGCACCGAAAGCCCCTCATCGTGGGAACCCCTTCCGTCCCGGGCAAACGGGGAAGCCTGGCCACCGCAATGGAAACAGACCCGGGTGAAGCACCGTGAAACAGGACACAGGCAAAGAGCAGGGGCCCTGGGAGGCTCCTGCCTTCTGTCCACTCTGTGACTCGAAGCAGCAACGAGGTATCAGGCAGTGTGTGTGGTGTTGGGGACAGTGAACAGCCAGACCTCAGGGATCACAGGGACGGTGCCGTGCAGCACAGCTAGGCAACTTCTGATGAAGGGCCCTGAAGGTGCTGCGGAGGGGGTGGGTAGGCTCATGGGTCCGTGGCCACCTGGGACACCCAGTGTGGGGGCGCTCGGTCCCCATTCATCCCCGGGAGGCCACTGAGCCCTGCTGAAGTGATACCGGTCCTCCAACTGGAGAAAGAAACATGTGCCTCGGCAGACTCTGGTGAAGGCAGGGGGCCCTGGGGGTCACCGAGGAGACTTTCTCAACGGGACAGGAGGAAGGCGTGCGAAAGACCCTCGCAGTCACAAGCCGGGGATGCGGCATGATGTGGCGCAAAGGGCGCAGCTGTGGAAACAAATCCGGGTTCAAATCCCAGCCTGTGACCCACCAGGTGGGCAACCCGGGCATCTCTGTTAACTTGCCAAAGCCTCAGTTTACTCATCTGTGAAATGGGGGAGGGCAGTCACGGCGGCACGCAGTTGTCGCACACGATGAACGAAGAAAAGAAACGCGTGTAAACTGCTTAGCTCAGTGCCGCCACACCAAATGGGGTCCTGTGGAAGGGCTCTGCCAGTTCCCACACCGTGGGGCCACCGGCTGCTCCCCCAGCCTTCGCTGCCTCGGTTTCTTCACCTAGAGAATGGGCTAGACAATTCCTGCCATCTCCTACATGAAGATGCCTTGAAAAGCATAAAAGCCGAGAAAAAAAGCCGAGAAAAAAAGCCGAGTTAAGGGTTGTTTTTAAAAGAACAGCAGGAAGCAAGCAAGAAAGAGGAGGAGGGACGCCTGGGTGGCTCAGTCGGTTGAGCATCTGACTCTTGATCTGGGCTCAGGTCATGAT